AGGTAAAATTATCTCTCTATGCAGATGATATGATAGCATACTTAGAAAACCCTAAAGACTCAGCAAGAAAACCAGTTGATCTATTAAGCAAAGTGGCAGGATACAAGGTCAACGTAAAAAAAATCAATTGGATTTCTTTACAGTGACAAAGAAAGTACAGAACCGGAGCTAACAAAAACACACTCACGGACTATAAACTTCATTAAAGAAAAGTTTTTAAGAACTCCAGAAGTCCGAATCCACAATATAAACAGTCTTCCAAGTATCCTGGAAAATCTACAACCAGGAGAGGAGTAAAACAGATGAATGGGACCTTCTAAGAATCAAACCCCAATGCACATCTAAAAACTTCTCCAACAGGGTAAAAAGAGATGCCACAGACTGGGAAAAAATATCTGTTAATGACATGTCAGATAAAGGACTTACATCTAGAATTTATAAAATACTCAAGCACCACAAGATAAAGCTAAAAAACCCAATTGAAAAATGAGCACAGGATATGAACAGACACTTCACCAAAGAAGACATTCAAATGGCTAATAAGCACATGAAGAAATGTTCAAAATCCCTACCTCTAAAAGAGATGCAAATCAAAACAGCTATGAGATATCATCTCACTCCAGTAAGAACAGCAAAATTTAACAGAACAGCAAGCAACAAATGCTGGTGAGGGTGTGGAGAAATTGGAACCCTTAGTCACTGTCGGTGCAACTATAAAATGGTGCAGCCACTATGAAAGGCATATGGCACTTTCTCAAAAAGTTGCAAATAGAAATACCATTTGACCCAGAAATTCCACTACTGGGAGTATACGCCAAAGAAACCATAACTGCCACCCAAGCAGATATATGCACACCCATGTTTATTGTGGCTTTGTTCACAATACCAAAGAGTTGAAAACAACCTAAGTGCCTATCAACAAATGAATGGATAGAGAAGCTGTTGTATATTCAGACAATGGAATACTACACTACATTGAAAAACAAGGAACTCATGCAATATTATTCAAAATGGGTGACCCTGGAGGACATTATGCTGAGCGAAGTATCTCAGTCACAAAAGGACAAATACTGCATGGTGCCACTTTGTAAAAGAGGACTGACCTCACGGTTGGGGGGAGACTGAGAAGGATGGGTTCAATAATGTATACTGCATTGAAACAGATGAGGGAGAAAACTGTTTAAACGGGATATATGATTAGGTATTTTTGTCCTGACAGGAGTCTAGAGTGAAGGCTGCATAAGTGGATTGGACCTGGGGGGAGGGATGGTAAAACAATGAAAGAATTTTTCTTTTACTTTTCCAAGAGGGTAGTGTACTGGCCAGGTAGGGGAGAAAAATGCAATGAATGAATGGAAATCCAAAGTCTCTGTAAATTTTCAATGAAATGAAATTTTTTTTTTAATAGGAGAAAGATGGGCAATATCCTCCCCTATGATTTACAACTTCTGAAAACCTGCTGGAGGGTCAGTTATAAGTTGATTCCAATTCCACAGCAGTGAGTTTGAGATTAAAAAGAAGTGTATAATGTATTATGCCCTGTAGAATGAGTATAAGGATCCAGGAAGGGTGGGAGAGGCTGGAAGCAAAGGGATGTGTATGTGCAGGGGGAGTGGAGAATTAATCATTGGGTTGTACAATTTGATGGGTGGGGAAGTGAGGTAAATTGAAAGAATGTGTTCAAATTTGTATTCAAATTTTGTAAACAAACTAGTAGAGGGGGAAAAGAAAATATTTTAACAAAAAATATTTTATGCTCTCTATCATACTCCTTATCATTTTAGATTTGGACCTCCTTCGTGTTTTCCTCTCCCTCCATCTCGAAGAATTTGATCATGACCTCTTCATGCTTTAAAGCACCACTGTATTCAGTGGTGCCCCCAGCGGAGACTGAGCTGAGGATAAAGGAAATCATGAAGAAACTGGACCAGCTGATCCCTCCCAGACCTTTTCTCCACATGAACACCACCACCAGCGCAGCACACAGCAGAGTCACCTTGCTCAGCCCTCGAGACACCTACTGCAAAGGGGAGCAGCTAGACCTCCTGCTGGAGGTGAGGGACCACCTGGGACGCAGGAAGGAGTATGGTGGGGATTTCCTGAGGGCCAGGATGTCTTCCCCGGCCCTGAAGGCGGGGGCTTCAGGAGAGGTGACTGACTTCCACAATGGCACCTACCTTGTCCGCTTCACTTTGTTCTGGGAGGGCCAGGTGTCTCTGTCCCTGCTGCTCATCCACCCCAGTGAAGGGGTGTCAGCTCTCTGGAGGGCAAGGAACCAAGGGTATGACAAGGTGATTTTCACAGGCCATTTTTCGAATAGCACCGTCAATGTTAACACCGATTGTGCCCTAGTTTTAAACTCAAATGCTGAACTGTGCAAGTACCTAGATGCTCAAGACTATGAAGCCTTCTACTGCCTGAAACCTCATCACATGCCCTGTGCTACACTCACCCATATGCACTCCAAGAACAAGGAAGTGTCCTATCTTAGTAAACAAGAAAAGAGCCTCTTTGGAAGGTAAATCATTACTTCTGGATCTTATTTGGGCAAATATGATGTGACTCATGTAGTGATGTGATCCAAATGAATGTCTATCAGTATACCACTGTTGGACTGTCTGAAAAGTCATTTGGGAAGTGACCACTGAATTAATTTGTAAACTATGCCCACTCCATTAATTTCCCAAACTTTCTGGATATCTAAATCTTATCTTGAAACAAACAAACCCTTATCATTGAAACCCAGAAATAAAAAATAAAATAATGTTAGATGTATATTCTTTCCGCATTTCAAAAATTCACTGTATAGGTGTACTGAATATCTAGAGCTCATGAACTCCAGTGGCATAGTAGTAAGGAATCCTATAACCAGTGCAAACGCGCATGGTTCAAATCCAACAACTGCTTTACAGGAGAAAGATGGACAATCAACTCCCATGCGAGATACTGCATTTGAAAATCTACTGGAGGGTCAGTTATGAGTCAGCTTTGACTCAATGGTAAATACCAACAACAACATGTAAGCAAAGAAATAAAAATGCACCGAATAGCCTAAGTATGGGAACAGAGTGGTTAACTAATCACCAAGAAATTATCGAATCTGAGATAATTTAGATTTTTCATGTTTCCTGATATTTTGAGCTACTTGTAGATTGACTTTTGTATTTCTCTTTAAGGTCAAACGTAGGTATAGAGATTATGAAAAACTTCAACACCATTCATGTCTCCACATGCAACAGTAAGTTTTTCCTGTGTTGGGTAGGTGGTATTACTTAGTCCTGTTGTTGTTGTTAACTGTCACTACATTGGTCCCAACTCATGGGGTTCCCATGCACAGCAGGCTCAGATCACCTCCTTCTGGACTTAGCAGCAGATGCCCAGAAGAGTTTCTTCTTTCTGCTCAAAGTGTCACCACTATCAATCTTACACACACACTGCCATTTGTCTTCTCTAAAGCAGCCCCAGTTACCAAATCAGTGAATAACTGTAACCCCCAAGATATCATAAATCTGTTTCACTGACTGTAACTCTTGTCATGAACCTGCTTATCAGGAAACAGACTAACCGCTCTTATAAAACAATAACCTTCTTTCCCAATTCTACACAAGGTTGTCTCCCTCCCACACCACTGCCACTTTCCACACCAAGCTGCACCATAACCCCCCTGACACCACAATTCCTCACATCTGTCCCACCACTACTCCATATCACTATTGGCACAACCACCACCATCAGGAGGTTTTCTAAGCTTTCTTCATATTTGCTGTCTTTCAAGCAGTTTTAAGATGTAATCACACTTTTCTAGTTATATTTACTAATTCTTCTTCCATTTTTTTTTCATCCCCCATAGCAAAGGAATAATTTAGGCAAGAACTTTTGTATCCCTTGAAGCTCAGCTTTAACAAATCCCTAATCATTAGTGATTTTATTCACATAAAAGGTAAAAATGGTATTTCCAACAAACAACATCTATTTAGTCTGATCAGTTCCAAGAAACCCAGTTTCTTTACATCACCTTGCCTTTAACTCAAAAGATTTGTGGTTTGGTGGGAGCATTATAGACACTGTGAAAGAGTGTGGCACGTAGGATAAAAGAATGCAATGGAGCATTCAATACTCCATAAGAATTGATAGCTTTCTTTCCATTAAATGGCAAGCCAGGTTGATATCTCTTTGCTCTTTGGTATTTATTGTCATTACCATAGTTTTAATTTATTTCCCCTCTGTATTTTCTCCCAGAATGAGAGTATTTGTTTTAAAAAATATGAAAAAGGAACATATAACTGAATATTTTTAAAACCCCAAAATTCAATTTGCTCTATAAATTTTTACCTAAATCACAATAATAAAAAGTTTTAAAAAATGCAACCAAATATTTACACTTTCACTCATAAGGTCATGCTTTTCTTTTCTGAGGGAAAAACATTTGCTCTTACAATGAATTTTAGTAGGAATAGGTTTGGAAACATTGGAGAAAAATATTACTGAAAAATAGCTACCCATCAACAGGATATGGAAGGGGGGAAATAAGCAATCTCCTCCTGTGGAATCTGCAGCCCAAAAAAATCCAATGAAAGAACAGCTATGGGTTGCTTCTGACTCAATGACAATGAGTTGAATATTAACGGAATGCTTCAATAAGAACTTTTCTTTTACTTTTCAAAAAGAAGAGTGTCCTGGGGGAGGGGTGGGCAGGGAGAAAAGTGCAACAGTGAGTGAATGGAAATGTAAAGTCTCTGTACATTTTCATGAACATGAATTTAAAAAAAAAAAGACTATTCCACCAGTACAACCACTTTTACCCCTCTAAGAGGTACCTAGAAAAGACAGTAGGCTCTTAGCAAACATATATTGATGATTTGATGTTTAGAAGATTCTATCTTGCTCTTTGGTAGAACAGGAAGTTCCAAGGGGGAAAAAGTGTAAGCCTGAAGTAATGTCTGCAGTCCCCAGTGGGTATGTCTTGGAAGAGACATGGAATCCTGTCTCCTGTGGTTTAACCCACATCGACATGAAAGAATGCCTGAGAGGAAAATTCATACATCTCCTAGGTGATTCCACAGTCCGCCAGTGGATGGAATTCTTCAAAGAGAACATCAACAGTAAGGTTTGATCTAATTATTATTGACATTCTTTCTGAAATTCCTTTGTCATTTCAAGGAGAGAGAAGAATATGGCACATGACCTTTCTTTTTCATATTCATTAATCACAACACACTAAAACTCCTCACAAGACATCGAAGTTGTTGTTGTTATTGTTGTCAGGTGCCACTGAATCAAGTAAGACCCAAAGCAGATCTGAGTCTTGCCCCATCCTGTGCCATGTTTACTATATCTGATATACTCAAATCTATTGTTACAGTCACTGTGTCAATCCATCTTACTGGGAGTCTTCCCTTCTTTCTCTGACTCTCCACATGTCTCTCTTCCTCTGGTTCTTTCATGATGTCACCGTCTTCTTTCTAAGAAGGAAGATTCATTGTATATTCAGCTGAGAAGGAGAATCAGAGTAGAAAAATATTTGTTATAATATTCCTTTCCCCATAAGGAGCTCTGTAGGGTATCATGTGTCATGCAGCTAATTAAAAGATTGGTAGTTTGAATCCACCAGCAGATCCACAGGCAAAAATGAGGACCACATTCCCCATAAATATTTAAAGCCTTGGGATCTCTGGGAACATAGTCAACAGGGAGTTTCATTGCTAGCCCAAATGCTGTACCTCCTTGGTCGCTGCAGCTCTGAGGGAGAAAGATGGACAATCTCCCATGTGTGACTAACAGTCTTGTAAACTCAATCCAAGGTCAACTATGAATTGATTTCAACTTGACTGCAATGAGAGTTGAGGTAAATAGATCCTAGCAATCTAATTTGGAAACACACCACTGGCTGCGCCTCCATGTCCCTGTACGCTGGGACTCTTGTTGTGAAGAGCAACACGGCTAGAGGGGCACTGCCCTGATCTTCCTGGCATGAAAATTTCACATGACCTCAAGCCAAAGGGAAAAATCTTTCTTCAAGTGCAAAATGAAATTAGTAACATCTTGGCTTTAAGTCCTAAGGAGAAGATAAATTTAAAGTATGGACTCTGATAAATTCATTTTTATCATCTGTTAAATAAGCCTTATAATGTACAACTAACTGTTATATAAAGATTACATAAAATACTGAATGATGTTTATGCAAAGGTTATATAAATACTGAATTGCTTTGTACTACCCTTATTACGTAGTATTTTACGTTGGAGTAAGAAAATATCTGTTATATATTTGGTTAAAAGTTAAATTTTATGGCCAGGGTGTACTTTGAGAAAGAGGATTGAAATATGTTGGAAGCAGAATTGAGGGAATGGTTTGACTATTCCCCTTCTCCAGTCCACCACCACAACACCTACATTTCCAAACGTCACTAAGTTAAAACTTCAAATGTAGACCTTTAAGTCTCAAAGGTACCTGTTACAAAGCTTAAATTATTTATCTCCGAAGTTCTAGCTACAAGCAACTGCCCTTGATATTCTGATAAAGGTCTAATTAGTACAATTAAAAAGTGGGAAGATTTTATTTTGTAATACTCATATGATATTTATTTTCAGAAGTGTTAAGATCATGTAAACCGCGTTCTTAAAAATTGGGACTAACTCCAAGTCTAAACACTGATTCTGTCATTTAGTAGATGTATAACCTTGGGCAAGTCATTTTACCTCTTGGCTTTCTTTCTCATAACAAAACAATAATATAGAAAGAGGAAGCGAGCAGAGATTTGAGGTGAGTGACCAAATCAACCTAAACCAATGCTTTATAAACTTAAACTACATTCCAAATAAATAGTAATACTATTTTTATTATTATAAATTATGTATTCAGTACTTTTCTATGACTATGTAAGTGTAGAATGCAATCCTACTGTTAAGAAAACTTAGGTAATATTGGGGGAAAAAGGTAGATTGCCAATTTTCTTGGGTTTTTTCTCCAATATAAAAAAACATCTCTATCTATATATTAGCAAAGTCCACAGTTAACAAAATGTACAAAAACAATACCTACAAAATTTACTACAACATTCCATAATTAAGTTAGCTCAATGTTCATTCTCTCTCATATTATTCTGCAAATGGAAACACAGTCTCTTACACTTTTGATTATTCAAATAACTATCAAAATTATTCTTTTCAACTTTAATAAATCAGCCATCACTTTGTTCCATTATAAACCTTTTCTTTTCTTTCTTTATGACTTTTCCTCTTCTATCTTTACGACTAATCACTCCTAATAAACTTACCCTCATCGATTTTTGCATTGCATATTTGTCATCAGCACTGAAGTCAGTGGATCTTCATGAATCTGGAAAATTTCAACACCAACTTGCTGTGGACTTGAAGAGGAATATCAACATTCAGTGGCAAAAACATGGTTATCCTTTGATCGGTTCATTGATCTATTCAGTCAAAGAAATTGAGTATATCGCCCGGGTCATTGACAGAATTGGAGGAGGAAAAAATACTGTCATCGTTATTTCCCTGGGCCAACACTTCAGACCCTTTCCAATTGATGTTTTTATCCGAAGGGCTCTTAATGTCCACAAAGCAGTTCACCATCTTCTCCTGAGAAGTCCAGACACTGTGGTTATCATCAAGGGAGAAAACATCAGGGAACTGCACAATGATGTGGAGCGATTCAGTGACTTCCATGGATACATTCAACATCTTGTCATAAAGGACATTTTCAAGGACCTTAATGTGGGTATCATTGATGCCTGGGATATAACCATTGCTTATGGCACAAATAATGTACACCCGCCTCAACCTGTGGTCAGAAATCAGATTAATATATTGTTAAATTATATTTGCTAGATAGCACACATCTCTGCAGCATATTCATTTAATCAAAAGCGTGTAGTGTCTGCCAACATGCCAGATACTGTGAGTAGTCCCAATCAATACAGGGTGATAATCTACATTCTGGTTGGTTTGTGAGTTATCCATTTAATAAAGTCAGCTATCTGGGCCCTCATGTAAAAATTAAAATATTCACTGAGATAAATGCTTCCTAGAATAACCGTGTATTTTACCATGAGACAAAAAAGAACTGGATCGCATCTGGCTACCACTACTAAAAAAATCCTAGTTAAAGTGGGGAAAATATAGAACAGAATTTCAAATTCTCACAGAATCTACATTTTCTTTTCACTGAGGTCAATTTAACCCCCAAAACTATTTTCCCAAGGAATCTTTAAACCTTAGACAACAAGCCAAAAATATTCCCTGCAGTGTTATTTCAAATGATAATTTAGCTGAGTTATTAAAGTCTACTCTGAGTACTGCACCCTTTCAAAGAACTATCTGTATGGTATCAAACTGACAACAGCAACTTGAAAGGTTAGATAGGAAACTTAGAAAGCACTGTTTTATGTTAATGATATGCAACAATTATGAAAAAAGAAGGTGAGTACAATCAATGTTCCTGAATTATATATATAGAAATTATTTTGTTTTGTTTCTGTCCTTTTCTCTATTTTCATTCAATCATTCACATAGGTATCATTTTACAGCAATGATTACAACTGTACAATGGCTTTATTAGCAATGTCCTATCAAAACCTCGCTCTACTTTCCCATTCCCTTCAACCCATCCATTCATAATCTCTGCTCCCTCTCATCTTTGCCTGTCAACCTACTGCAGTTGTTCATATCATGTGTAACACCTCCTTTCTTCTCTTTTGGGAATTGGTTTATGTACTCTTGTGTATATTTTTAATAACCACAAAAAGTTATAAATTATTTTTTAATAAAATTGAAAACTTCATGAGAAAATCCAACACTTCTTGGCTAGTGTCATGCCACTCCTTACAAATGGGAAGTCAAGTTTCCTGTGGTGGCTAATGTGCTGGATGCATGGGTAAACAGGAATAATGTAATTGTAAAAATGAATATTTGAAGAAAGTAAAAAAAAAGAAAACTGCACTTCCTTAGTTTTACTACTAACGATTAGCCCAAGGTGACTTTCAATTAACAATAAAAAGAGTCTTAAAGGGTCTTCTTTTTTTTCCAGAGCCTTCAGTTCTAGAGGGATTGCAAAGTTCCCAGCAAGGCCCACTAGATCCTGAAACACTCTCACATTTCCCATATGAAATCTCTCAGCCAGCAATTAATCTGACTCTACAGTATTTATCCTTCAAAAATACAGGATGGCATAGTAAAAACAATGCTGCTCTATTAGTCAGGGAGCGGGGTCAGTGTCTGACAATAAGCTTAAGATCTTGAGTCACTTCAATTCTTTAAGTAGGTTTCCCAAATGACATACTAGTCTAAGATTTGTCATTTCATGCTTACTTCACAAAGCATTAGGTGTCAGAAGTAGTGCTTCAGATACCACTGTGAGGGACAAGGGCTGTGTTAGGTGGTCAGGAACAGAGGTCCCTCTACCAATTTCAATCATTCATTCTAACATGTTGGTGTAATGGACTTCTGGGTAAGCTTTTGTTTAAGAAAAATTCCACTATTTAGAACATATTTGAAAACCATTATACAACCTACATATGTAGGCCAATATTTTGATCATTCTCATCAGCATGTTAAAAGACCTTTTGAAAACATGACCTAAAGAAGCATGATTAACTTGAGACATTCAGTTGACTAGAGCTATATGTTGCTTCTTACCATCGAGTCAACTACAGCTCACAGCAACCCTATGGACAACAATCTGAACCTTGTCTTATACTGCACAATCCTCACAATCTCCCATATGCTCCAGTCTATTATTGTAGTCACTACGTCAATTTATCTTGTTGAAGTATTCCTCTTTTTCTCTGATCTTCCTCTTTCCCCAGCGTGATGTCTTTTTCAAAGGATTGATTCCCCTGATAACATGCTAAAAATATATGAGACAAAGTTTCACCATCCTTGCCTCTAAAGATCACCCAAGTTGCCCTTCCTCTCAGATAGACTTGTTTGTTCTTTTGGGAGTCCAGGGAACGTCCAATACTCTTTGCTTATGTCACAAATCCAAAGGCATTTTATTTCTTCTTCAGTCTTCCTTATTCATTGTTCAACTTTCAGATATACAAGAAGCAACTGAAAACATCATGGCTTGGATTAGGCATACCTTAGTCTTTAGACTAATGTCCTGCTCCTTAGCACTTTCAAAGGTCCCTGACAGCCAATTTTCCCAATGCAACATGTCTTTTGACTTCTTAACTACTCGTATTACCATTGAGGATACTGTTGGCTATAGTAGTAAGGAATTGTGTTTCCAGTGTAAAGGTACTTGGTTCAAATCCAAAAGCTGCTCCTCAGAAGAAAGATGAATAAAATCCTCCCATGCAATTTAAGGCCTCTGAAAATCTACTGAAGCTGATCTGTTCCACCTCAATGGTACACAACAGTTACTACAATTACTAACATGGGAGAGAGGACTGGTTACCTCGTGATAAAAAGTTGTATTGTCAATCCTAAGGCATGGAGTTCGAGTCCACCTGATGGTTGGTGGGAAAAAGATGAGAATCTCCTCTCAAGTGAGTAATAGTCTCTGAAAACCAGCTGTGGGGACAGCTATAAGTTAGTTCCTAGTGCTCAGTACCTAACAACCACTAACATTGTTGAATATGGTTCCAAGCAAAATTAAATCTTTTAAAACTTCAGTCTTTTTCTATCTATGTTGCCTATTATTCCAGGGGTGAAGGGTTTTGTTTTCTTGATGTTGAGATGCAGTACATATTTAATGGTATACTCTTTGGGCTTCTTCAGTAAGTCCTTCAAGTCTTCTTCATTTTCTGCAAGCAAGATTGTGTCATCTGCATAACGCAGGATGGTGATGAAAGTTGGAAGAAATACACAACCACTGCACCAAAAAGAAGTGATCAACACAGAAAGTGTTGAAAGGAAGTAGCATATGATCAACAATCAATCAATGGTAATGAAGGAAGACATTCAAGCTGCACTGAAGGCACTAACAAAAAGTAAGGCATCAGGTATTGATGGAATACCAACTGACACATTCCAGCAAACAGATGCACCCTTGGATATTATCACTAGTCTATGTCAAGAAATTTGGCAAGCAACAAATGCTGGCGAGGTTGTGTAGAAACTGGAACCCTTATTCACTGTTGGTGGAAGTGTAAAATGGTGCAACCCCTGTGGAAAGCAGTATGGCGCTTTCTCAAAAAGTTGCAAATAGAGATACCAT